TAGACCATATATATAAAATCATGAGAGATCATGGGATTCCTTTGATAATTATATTATTATTGTCAGGTATCATTTAATTTCATGGGTTTGTATTTCATTTTGGAACTCTGAAAGATTACTTTTCGAGGAACAGGGCAAAGTTTTTTACAGTTTTACAGATTTAAGGAAAAAATGGATGACAATCACGTAGAAAGAACTGTTGTGTTTTGACTCTGAGATTGATTGGAACTTGAAAACACCGGACAGCTTTTTCTTTTGGTTTTGATCACTTTTTCATCCGATAAGGTAGATTATTCTCCGTTTCCATCCCTAAATTTTTATATTATACTCATAATTAATGTATATTTTAAATTTATCTTTATAAATATTTAACGAATATGAATACTCCTACACCCATAACTTTTAACAAAAAACTAAAATTTAATTTTTTTTAATTTTTTTACTTTTATCTTATCTATTTAAGTAAATTTTTATAAAAAATATATTAATATAATATTTTTCAATAAAAATACATTAATTTTAATTAATCTTAAATAATAATTTATATTATTTAGTTAAAAACCTATATACTCAATATATATAAATATATATAAAATATGAATACGAAATGAATATTACATTATCCATTTCTATCTTCATATTCAATAAAATTTAAAATTATATCCATTTTCATCTCTATACTCATAATGTAACACTCATCTTAAAGTAAAAAATTAAAAATTTCATCAAATATGAGTAAAATTAACATCCCTAATATTAAGATAGAGCAATGAAGAATGAAATTTGCTTTAAACTTTAAACTTTAGGAAAGAAAAAATGAAAAAAAAATCAAAATGTCAAAAAGGAGAGAAGAGAAGAGAATGGGATATACCCAAAAGAGGATTTAAAAATAAACTTTGACTTAATTTAATTGATTTATTATTATTTTTTCCTTTCCGTTATTTGGGCGTAAAAATATATCTTTTATGTGTTTGACATGCACTTAATTTTCGAATTTTTTTTTTCTTAAAAATTTTTTGTTTCCTAATTAAATGAGTGATAATCAATAGTTAAATTTTGAGACACTAAATGAATCAGTCATAACAAATTATTATTATTTTTTAAATATGTGATAATTATATAATACAAACCAAAAGGTTTTCAAGATTTTAGGACTAGGAAACTTGCATAGCTCGGACACGAGCAGTCAATTCCCTAACCTGGCTCCTCAATCGTTCAGGATTGCAGAAGAAGTCCACAAAAACCCGCCTTTGAAAACCAACCTCTTGGGAATGATGTTTTACAATCTGCATGCCACGAAAATACAAAATGCATGACTTTGGGTTGATATTTGTCAAGCTGAAGATCTGAAAGTTACTCTTAAAATTGATTGATTCATAGAGACCACAAATGAGAAACTCAGACACGAAGACTATCGCCAGAATGGTTATGATATATGTTCTTAAATATGTCTGAGTAGGAAGAATTCTTCCATGAGATGGTGTGAAACTGTTTTAACTCTGATTACCTCATTCTTCTTGCAATGCTCAAGCGTCACCTCCTCGACTGCCGCAGAGAGTTTAGCGTTGATCTTTTCCATTTCATCCAGCTCTTTCATTAAAGGCTAAAAGGGCATCAAAATGTCAAAGCAAATCACATCAACTTGTCATGCAAAAATAAGACCAATGACAAGGCTATAATAAAGACAGGATCATGCTTCAAGTGGATTCGATCATTTGAATTACGGGAAAGATCAACACCGATGTGCAGTTGAAGGACATACCCGAGGTGTCAATATTGGTTGTGCGGTTGTCGAAGATGCAAATAATAGTTGCTGCAGACTTTGAATCAGAGTGCACCTGGCACAATAAAGAAAAGATATGACTTAGAAAAAACTCAAAATTCATCAAACTCGAATCTACACTAATTCAGAATTTGCTTAAATGCAATACTAGCAATTTTCTCTAAGCTGAAATACAGTACGATTCTTTCTATAAAACTCAAAATAATTCTGCTGGTTTATGATTTTGCATAGCAAGAAATATCTGTTTCCTCTTCCAAGCATCTCAAAATCATGCCAGGTGCTTCTCTTGCTTAACTCACAACTCATTGATGCATCTATTTCTGTCCTCTGGAAGGGAATTCTCAAGATCAGACTGAAGAGCCATCAAGTCTGAATGTAGACCAGATATCTGCTGAACAATGCCTGGAGCAGATACATATGTTGATAGACCAGCCTGTGCATCTAAAAGAAATGCCAAAAGCAACCACAAATCAAAATCCTTTTACTAAAGATAAATCTCATACAGTTCCAGTATGAAACAATAATCAGGTTTCAATATATAACAATGGGGGGACATTACTTGAATGGATACTTAAAAGGTCTCTGACACCATGAAGAAAAGTGTCTCGATCATCCACTGCACCTTGCTCTTGGACCTCAGATGCAGCTTGAATTAGTGCCAAGCAATGCCCCTAAAAAATAATAAACAGCTTTTTAATGTTAGGAAAAAATCCCATAGGAGGATTTCCAAGCAAACCTGTGAAACACTATCCTGGAAACAATACCTTCCCATGTAGTAATGAACCGGGATTTAAAGGGCAAGGATACAAAATCGGTCTCTAGGTTCAATATCAGAGCCTTTTTTAACAAGTGGCTGGGCATTTGCCTCATTGTTAATGACACCTATAATGTACTCAAGGAGAATGTCCCAAGTTCTAATCTCCCTTCTACAGAAAATAATACTAAATAAAAAACGGGGGAAAAGAAAACAGATTTTATTCACCAAGAAGTTAAGGACCATAGAGGAATTTTAATGAAACATATTTTTTGAATTCCATCTTCACAATTGTGCTAAATAATTCAGATTCAATAGTGCTCTTCACCTTTTTTTTGTACAACAGTACATGTAAAAAATTAACTAACCCTGCCTGTAGATTATCAACCCAGTATGACCAACAAATAGAGATTTCAATTCAATCTCTAACATGGAATGTATCACAAAAATAGCTAGAGACATTAACATGGAATGTATCCAAAAAAACAAAAAAGCTGCAACAGAAATGTATAAAATGGCAATGGGTAGAATTGCAAAAAATAAGAGACATGCAATACGTAGCAGGCTAGACATGATAGATGAACTAATGTCCCTTTGGACATCAAAAGAAAACACTGGTAAAAGAAGGATGCACACAATAATACACAGACCACACAAGAAGATCCAACATACTACTCGGCCTTTGGTTGCTGACAGGTATGCCTGAAGCTCTGACTCAATAACTTTAAGCAATGAATATGCTCCAAGCATATTTTTCTTTTCCAATTGACAAGCTATTTTTAAGAGCTGATGCCTTGCAAGCTGATTGATCAGATGATTAATAAACTGCAAAAAGAAATTGAGAATGTTAAACATTTGCAGATGAATTTAAAGTTTGGACTTTCTGCACTTCACGAGCATCTCTGAAAATGCTTCATAAGGCCTTGTATAACTTGAGTGAAAAAAAAGAAGGGAGATGACCAACTTGAAACAAAATCATGATTGTTGCTTTAAGTTGTTTTGATGCTAGTAAAAATTGACCATCCTTGTCCTTGGATCACAGTAACAAATTAAACATATTCCAACATATTTAATCAGAGTGAGCTCTGAAATATGAAGGCTTTAACTGGAAAAGTTTTCCATTTGCAATATTTTCACTGAATTATTATGTTTTCATACAAAGAAGCATCAAGTCTAACCTGGAGTAGCGATGGTTGAATGTCACTGACATGCCAAAGGAGCATTTTTTTATGTTAATGGGGCAGTAAAAGGGTGATTATTCCACATGCCTTTTCTCAGTTTCTCACATAAGCTAAATGCATTATACCTATAAGCAGCCATAATACCATCCAATAAACTAAGAAGCAAGAGCTCCATGGCCATAAAAGTTTTAGAATAAGGAAATTTAAATTCTTCATTCTTTATACTATTTGTATGATTATGCTTTTTCTGAAAAAAAATCTAAACAAGATATAATGAAATAAAAACCGGTAAAGAGTAGCCAACTATACCGGTTTTTGTCTGCTAATATAGAACTCTTGGCGCATAACCTTTAGATCATAATCACCTAAAAGCAGATAAATTTACAACAATATCAACTTGACAGCAAGTACTAACAGCATGATAATATTAAATTAAGTGCTTACCTTCTGCTTTCAATTCTCAAAAAGAAAAGCGACCGTACTGTACCTTGCAAAATGTATGTGTCCTGGAGCTGTGCCAGTTCCCAGCAAAGATCTGGAATAGTCTGGAAAAGGGAGGCAGAAATGAAAATAAAGATATAGAATCAGCTCTGACAGGAAAATGAAAAATAAAGAGATAAAATTTCAGGTGAAATTGTCCCAACAAAAGTTATTCATTGGGAACACAGATCTGACATGGAACAACTATTTATGCAGAAGATTTAGGCTGCGTCAAGATATGCAAAAAAAGGAAATAAAAATACACAAACAAACCTCCGATAATAATTTCTCTTCCTTGTGATAAAGGTTTGAAAGTTCTCCCACCAATTCAGCATGCTTTCTTCTGCAAATTGGTAATCAAAATGATATATTAGTATGCAACAATATAACAAGTAGGCGTATTTCCTCATAATTCTTTCCTGGGATGATGACCAACAGTCTTAAGAAATTTGAAGACTTTTCAAGAGCTCATTTGCAAGAGTAGAATATTTCTTAGTCTTATGATAATGAAGTGATAATTAAGTCTACATACATGCTTAAAATTTAATTACTAGTGCACCAGCAACAACCAAGATGACTACATTAAGTTTCAAAGCCTATCACCTGACCTCAGTAATATGAATCTTGTAAAATGTGGTTAACAAGAATACAAAAATTTGGACGCTAAACTTATACAAAGGTCAATGAGTTCACACACAAAACGTAGACGCTTACCTAAGGGAATGAAGATCGAGATGAATATGAGCTTCATCTGATGATACTTGAGATTTAATTGCCATGAGAATGGCTTGCTGCTTGGCATTCTCAACCTGGGCTTCTACCCATTGTCTTTCACTTGTTCCAAATCTGTCGAATCACGTTCAATAAATTCAAAAATAAAGAACAAGAAAAAGAGACCACCCATCCCTCTCTTCTCCCAAAGTACTAGACAAATCAAACAACATTCTGTACAGTCCACATGAAATAATAAGCTCCTGAGTAGTCAGACGGTGTCACGACTTATAAGTTTTGAGATTATTTCAAATAGGACCAAAAATATTGCCTTCAAGCATAAAAAAAAATAATAATAAATAATAATAATCCACATAAAGAGAACCAAATTAGACCTCAGTGCCACAGGAATATAACATGCTATTGAGGAGCAAATCTAAAATGTTCCAAGAAAACTTTCTTTTTTTTATCTCTTTGTTTGCTTAAACTCTATGTAACCTTACTTAATGCAAGCGAAAGATAATAATCATAGCAATAATCATTCTACTTTTTATTGTAATGTGCAAAAAAAACACTCCCATCTCCCACAAAATAAAAATTTCCTCCAACCACCGCTAACATTCAAATAATTCAATTAATTGAACAGTAGCTAGTTAAAAATCAAGATTAAGAGAGTATATATAAAAAGTTGTAAAGAAAAAACATACATGGAACGAAGCCGCTGCAATTCAGAAACACGTTGATGATGGGACTTTTCTAAATCTGCTGCATTTAGACAAAGAAGAGAGAAATGTAAAAATTTTTGCCACCAGAAAATGTAAGATCACCAATGCATGTGCTATTACATAAAACTAAAGATATGTAATCTGGAAAATTCACCAAGATAAACTTGATTGCTTAGAAACTCCAGCTAAGTCAATATGCTGCTATCTTTAGCATATAACATGCGCATGGCATCATTTTCTTCATACCTTTGCAAGAACATCATTAGCAGATGAGCCAATATATACATATCTTGAACAATTGCCATGATTTTCAAAGCACATAACAGAAGACTATCATAGTCTTCCCTCTAGTAAGCTTTTGCAAAGAAGCATGTGTAAGAAAATGAAAAAGCCTTCCAAATACATTAGAAGAGTGCCATAGAGAATAATTTACAACAAAGAATCCACACATTAGAAATAAACAGAGATAATTGCACTCAATGATTCATATATCCTGTAATAGGAAATTAAAGTTAAAAGATTTTCAAGTAGAAAATAACCTAAGGCACTGTTTAAAAAGGTAGGATTTTAATTTACATATTTACCCCGCAATTCTTTCAAAATGAAGCAAGTCATTGCACAAAGCCAGTTGCTATTGTTTGTCCAATGCTTTTTTGCTTGTTTTATGTTGACATACTAATAAGTTTTAACACTCAAAGAGGTAGTACAAAAGCAGCAGTTGATGCTCATTATTAACATTAGTTTTTTTTAATAGAAAAGAGTTTACTTCCTCATTTCAAATAAATACTAAGAAATAACAGTATTTTCCTGGTGAGATGGGTAAAGATAAAAGTAGCAAGAAGATAAGGACAAAGAGAAAGAAATTTAGAGAATAAAGGCACAACAAGACAAGAGTTTTATCTAAGAGCAACGAAGATGACATGGGAGCAGGTTCTTATGAATTTCCATTCAATCATAAACATTATGATATAGCAGCTAATAGAATCATAACTATAAACAAAATAAATACTTATGCATTGGATCTAAAGCATACCGTATTACCATTGCTAAAAGGAAACCAAAGAGTTATATCTAAAAGCAACAAAGAGAAATACCTCTTACTAAGCTGTTTGAGACATCATCAAGACTCACCCACGAACATTTGGATTTTCCCTCTTCAGCAACTAACCGAAAAGGTACCTGAGTGCAATTACTAGTTGAGTCAACAAAAGTAAAAAAAAATAAAAGCAGAGAGGTCTTCATATGTAACAAGGGAAGGAGTATTTGTTCAAGGCAAAAACACTTAACTAGCTACATTTCCACTTATTATTCACATAGCTAGAAAATTAAACATAGCATGCAAAATTAGACCTACTTAGTTACATAAAAACATATAAAACTATAGAAGATAAAAACCAAGAATGCAAATGATATTTCATAAATTTCACACCAGAAAATGACCGATGATTCAAAATCAAACCCCCACAACAGATGTGAAAAGTAGCAAGACGCCTCATGGAGACAGTAGCCCACCAAATTGAAATGAGAGCTGAGGTTCTTGGCATCACAAATCAAAATCACTATGGCCCAGTCCTGGGCAGCTCCAATCCTTAATAAAGGAGACCGATGACAGGTGTTCTAACATATTAGTTGTCTTTGCTATTCAAGTCTCACAACTTTGGGTTTAACATTTCTAATGCACACATCAGATTACTTTCAAAGAAAACAAGTTGCCAAAATGAATTATTGTCACAAGTACCAGCATGAAGATTGAATACAGCCCGTCAGCCTGAGGGCAAAAAATCCTTCCAACTATTGCAGTTTTCATGCCCTCTGACCAGCTCTCTAGATTGAATGATGCATATTAAGAAATTGAACTCCTACAGATTAGACCTGAAGCGTTGACTTATTTCTTAATTAACTTTTTGTGCTGACAATTGTGAACGATTGAGCATCATCAAATTCAAGCCAACAAGTGTCCAGAAAAGAGACAAATTTGCTTTGGAAACAAGAAGGGAACCAGCACTAGTTTGTCATACTTTAAATGTGTGAAAAGTAGAGACACATCATATTTAAAGTTTAAACTTAACACATTGTATTCGGGTGACCATAAAATAATAATCTAAAATAGGCACTAGAACTTCTATTGTCCTATGGAGATAAGAGACTGATGGTAAGGCATATGTGTATGTTTCATTTTGTGAGTTGCACCAACTACATACTACATATAGTTGTGTCCATTTGCATGCATTAGAGGAATTAAAATTAACATGATTGCTACAGAATATAAGAAAACTCATGGATAATCATATATCCTTATGGCAGAGTTCCCAGGTGTACGCTTATAGTAAAGTTTAGCTGTTTCAAAAAATGATTGGATATAATCTAAATAATCTGGTATTACATGATATATCATCTGCTTAATTAAACTGCTCATTTAGTTCCTCTTCCTCTTCTTTAGCGAGAGATTTCTTTTTCTTCCTCATTATGCCTCCTGGAAATCTTTTTTGATAAATTGCTTTCCCTTTGTTTTACACTTTATGGAACTTGACAGAATACTCTTAAAGGCCAATGATAAAACTATTGAAGAATCTGCAACAGAAAGAACTGAGATACAAATAGTATTTGCAGATCATACCGTATCTAGTTGCTTAGCAAACCATTGATTTAACTCCTTTATGCAGGATGAATCAACAACCAAGTAAGGATGGAAGTCAGAGTAAGCTAAGTAGATGCCTTCCTCTGCATGCATAAATAATGAATAAAAGTTCATCAAAAAGTAGCATACAACTAAGAAAAGTTTCAACCATTCTTCCGTTCCCTTAATGTCAGGCATGCATTATCTAAGGCTCATATATCTATTTGTTATTTGACATAGTTTTTAAGGACTAACAAAGGCACCAGCAGAAACATTCATTTCTCACCAGGAAAATAACTAAATATAAAACAAAACTTACAGAGACAAATAGCAAGTAAAGCAGCAGGTGACTAATATTAAAAATAGAACATGAAAACTGAGATGCTTCCAAATGGGAAAAAGGGAAGCGCAGAGGGGATTATAAACTAGAATGGGTTCAGGTCAGTCTTCATTAGCCCAAGTCAAATCTAAATCAGTCTTATCCTCTTACACAAAGGGATTGAACCAAAATAGAATTTAACATCTCTGATGGAAGAAAAAAAAAAGAATGAAAAAGTAAGCAGTACCATCTCCAGAATGATAATGCGCCAGCTCTTGTGCTGTAGATGCTATCCTCCCAAGAACCGCATTCATCTAAATCAAAAGAAAAATACCAGTACTTCAATGTTCAAGCAGATAAACAGTTTCCACCAAAAAGAAAGGAATAAATAAATAGAAAAAAGATAGCTTTTACCATTAAATTCTGGTTTCATTTATATTTATACTGTGTTCAGCAAAATAAAGTCATACAGCATAAACAACAACTCAGAGATATACCATTCCACCTTAGTTTGATCAAACTTGAACATAACATGCTTCAAATATCATAGCAATTAAACTAATTAGAGATTGCTTAGAATTCCATACCTGCAAGTTCCTTCCTGAGAGGCTATCATCTATGGTTGTAAGGTGTCCATTGACAGTAGATGTTGCTGCAACTCGAGCTCGTCTGCCTTGAATCAAAGCTGAAGCCTGACCAGTGAGCATATCAAATTGAGACTGTAAATGCCTAAGTTGTTTCTGCAACTCTAAGGCTTCGGCTTTATATGCTACGGTTGCATCCCTAAAGACAAAAAGAAATCCATCAGTATTGGAAGCACCTTACTGCTGTGAATACTGGTAAAAAACATTTATAAGGAAGCACCGAGAAATATAATGCGAACAAATCTTTTGCATCTAGGAGTACACATATAGAATCCGCTCAGAAAAAGTTACATCAATAAAGATGCATTCAGGCTATCTAAAATTATCACACCAACACCAATCTCTAGCTAAACATTTTCAGGGTTATCAAGCTTAAGCTCAAGTTAGTGTTATGATTAACCTCCTTAAATAGCAGAAAAATGTTAAGGAAACACCAATTATCACGCGATTTCAAGTGAGCGAGAGGTACAGAGAAAAGGTATTAGAGTACCTAATATCTTTCAATCCTTCTTCAGCTCCGAAAACTGCCTCCTGGTTGTCCCTCCTCGACGAAAAGGCTGAAATGCTATCATAAGCAAAGTCCAAGTCTTCCCCCTATATAATTATACAAACAAAACACTAGCATTAAAGCCATATCCACCAAAATTTGCAGCCAAAGAACACAAAATAATGAAAAATTTACCTCCAATAGCTTCCCTTCTTGTACAAATTCTTCATACCTGCACGCATTTAAATTGATCCCATCAATAGTAACCTAAATCGAGGGTTTTTCCCACTATTTTCTAGGCAAAACAAAAATGGGGAGAGAGAGAGAGGGGGGAACTGACTGGGAGAGTTCGGAAAGGGAGAGGACGTTCGATGGGCGGAGGGAGGAGCAGATCCAGTCAAGGATGGTGCGAGCGTCGTCGTATTGGAAAGGCCACTCGAAGCTATCGGGATCCAATTTCTCTGCCCCTTCGTATCCCAATTCCCCTAGCAATGCGCAGAGCCTCGCCCCACTCATTTTCGCTCTCTCAGATCTTTCGCTTCATTTCGAAATTTTCAAATTTCTTGCTTTCCTTTTGTGAGAAATTGACAGAGAAGGGGTTTGTTTTGGCGCCGGCCTGATTGAAATAAATATACAACAATAAAAATGTGTTTTGTTTTTGGACTTTCGTTTGGTGGACCGGAGGAATCTAATCTCTGCTATTTTCCTTTTGTTCTTCAGAGCCCTATATTTGTGCTTTACTCAATTGTACCTTGTATTGATGTACAATGAAACTTTTTTTTGAAGTTTGGTTGAAAAAAAAAAAAGGCAAAATTGCAAATGGAACTATGGAAGCATTGGTATGACCAAAATTAGTTTAAAAAGATTGCTGAATGCAATGGTTAAGATTTGACTTCAGTTAATCATCCAACGGTACAGAAATTTTGACAGCTTGTACTGCTTGGTGTTAGGTAGCCAAATATATATATATATATTTTACTTTAAAAATAAAAATAAAAAATACATGAAAAAATCTAATTATTCCTATATTTATATAATATAATTAATTGCATTTAATATATATATAAATATAAAAATTATTGTATTATAATTTATGTCAATATATAAATATGAAATATATTTTTTATTTTTATCATACTTATATATAACTTTTATTAAAATTTTAAATCATATTACATATTTTTTCACATTATTCATGTCATATTTAAAATTATCAAATTTCAATTCCCAATTCTCAATTAATCAAAAACTTTGTCTCACCAATCACCATGTTATTTCTAATTACATAGTATTCACCAATTTAAAATCAAATTGTAAGCAAAATCATTGAAAGTAAAATCCCTTCAAATAATTTCTCTTTTTTCCTTTTTCTCTCTTCCTTCATACATGAACCTTTGCTTGTTCAATCAACAATAATAGTTAAAATAGGATTATAATTACAAGGGGAAGTTAGATCTACACATACCGCCCTGCCCAAGTAAGCTTTCATAAAATGGTAGGTCATGAACACAAATTGTCTTATTGCAATAGAAAACCAACTCCATGTCTCAATTTGGCACTAATCTTAGCAGCATAACAGTGAGATTTCAAGCCATTCCAGCAAGCATTTCCACAATTTACCAGAATTTTATTAAACAAACCATTGAATGAAAGAACTACATCACATATAAATTTTTTCCAAGGTGAAGATCTCCTACAAAATCATGAACTAATATCCATATTGCTTACATTCCTCGATACATTTGCAGGAAACCCTTTGCATCCTCATTTGACAGGCAAGGACTGCTCATCCGTAGCCAGGATTTTAAGCAGTATAACTTTGTTTATAACAGTGACCAGGGCAAGCAAGAAATAAAAGAGATTCTTTAAAAATTGCTAAAAATGTTCTCATGTTAGTTCATGCTTCCTGCTTCCTTCTTCCTATTTTTCCCTTTCATTCATCATATAATGTTAGTCACTATCAGAAAAGTATCTCTGAGTGTCGAACGGCTGGCTCCTGGAGTTTGTAACGTAGCTGTTCAAGGCATTTTGTCCATTCATTGGTGCAAATGCTGCAAAATACATGTACATGAGGGGCTCCATGAGAACATGATGCTTTTACATATTTTAAACTATTATCAAACAAGAGAAAAGTTGGCAGAAAACAATCCAAACCAGATGATATTTGCATGTAATGCATAAATGAAATTCTCATGCATTTTACATGACATGCTGTTAAAATTTATTGTTCTCTTGGACCATTGCTGAAAGTTAAGCATGATTCAAATTTATTGACAAGTCCATTGGATATGAGAGTTTCCCGGATAATTCATTTCATGCTCCAGTTTATGCAGTAATGACATCAATTTTCTATGACAAACCTATAAAGTATGACTCAGCATTCTAACATTACAGAAAAATACAATGAAAGGATCCAAATTTCAGCATATTAAAGATATAATTTCACACAGTAAGTAAAAATATTTGTAAATCACATTCTGCAATTTATCAGCTAACTGGCAGTGCATATTAATGAAGAGCCTTAAAGCAAGAAAAGCCTCTCCAACATGGTGATCAGTAATCTGCAGTCATGTGAAGAAAATGTAGCTTCAGCTTAACACTCTACATCAAACGATTGGCAAAGAGTTTAATGCCCATTTGGCAATATTATAGGAAGAGTTCACACTCAGCGCAGCTGAGCTAAGTACAAGATTTTTACCAGTCTCCTTCAAACTTTTGCTAAAGAGACTCAGAACTGGCAAGTAGTTTCACAGAAAGAAATTAATTGATTTTGATCAATAAAAATATCTAAATCAAAATACTTAAAGATTATCGGCCATATATTTTTTAGCATATTTGGCACACAAATTCGCATTTTAACACATAAAAGATTCCTGAGCACCCCTTTAGTATGATAATTTCTTTAACAATCCAAGGCAGTCAGGGACCCATAACTAAACTTGTTTTCAAGTGGCATAAAAACAAATATGTTTACAAGTCTACAGGAACCAAGTTATGAGATACTCAAGCTCAGTTTATTTGGCTATTATAAAAACTTGGACTAAAGCTTTGGCTACCTCATTAACAAACATAGAAAAATAATAATAAAACAGCTCAAATAACTATTGAATATACTTTTAGTTGCTTTTTCAACCAATATGGACATTGGAGACCCTTCAGACAAATTGAGACCAAAGGATCTATGTAGAGCTTGTAATGGGGCAATCAGGTACTTTCTGGTCAAGGCAAGGTTATGGTTTCTAGCTTTTTATGTCAATTTAAGTTGGGTTAGATAGGTCTTATGAATTCGTATCAACTTTTGCGGCATTTTACACTACAAGCATACAGTAATTGAGTTTGGGTTCAAAATTCAATTATTTCAAGTTTCAGAACAGGGGCCAATGTTAAGGTCATTGCTTCTCTATTAGAATGAGTTTTTTTCATATAGATTATGCAAGTTGATTGGATCATTCAGCTTTTACCACCTCTAGATCTATCCAATAGAAGAAAGATTAGAACATCGAATTTTTGTATTAAACAGAAATTAGCTAGAAAGTTGAAATAATTGAACATACCTTTCTCTCTCATTCTTTTCTCTCTATCATATTCAAACTTATCCCGAAGTTGATCTACTTTCTCCGAGGTACCACCTTGCCTATTCCTCCCAAAACCTTGGTCCTGCAGTCAGATTACATAATGCAGAAAGATATTTCAAAACAAATGAAATAAAAAGAGAAAGTTCCAATGTACAACATGGGATAGCCAGTTATGCTGATATTGAGCATTATATCCCAAATTAAGCCACCAACAAGTCATTAAAAAGTCATACCTTCATGAGATCAGCATGCGGTTGCCTGTTCCTAAACACAAGACAAAGGGATTATGATCAGACATCTCATTTGTAGTTCAATCCTTAGACAAATTAAGGCTTGACAACCATGAACCTTCAAAACTCTGTATGGGTGTTCATGTTGGGCATAATCAAGAAATCAAACATTTATAATGCCAAGGAAACCACTTTGTTGATTTGTCTAAGGACTTTCTTTTCATGATTAACTAAAACAACATGATGAAGAAACCAGTAAGGACAAACCTGTAAGGATTAAAATCTTGATCATCATCCTCGGCAGACTCATACTTAGCATGATCTTTGGCAATTTTTTTTGAGTAACCCTCATCCCAATACAACCTCTCCCAGTTCTCTCTAAGCTCATTATACAATTCCATGTACCTTTTGCACCATGGCTCATGCTCCTTCAGTGAAACAAAACAAAGCAACAAAAGGCATATTATTTGCTGCAGTTTTCAGTTTATTTTGCATTAATAAGAATGGTGGTAGTTTTTTTTTTTTTTTAGTGCTAACCGATTCCTTGATAACGAGGCGAGTGCGGCGCATGAACTGATCCCTGAGCTGCTTTCGACGCTTGTTTGGGATGTTGTCCCTGGGGATAACGAAGCGCTCACGTGGGGGCACGTGATCGCCGATCTCGTGCATCTCGCCGTCGACAATCCACCACTCGGATTTCTCTTCCGCTTTCTTGAAGGCGAATCCTGAGGCCTTGGACCGCCGCTTGGAGGAAGCAGCGTCGGTTCTAGCGAAGCGGAGTTGGTGGGTGGTGGAACGGAGGCATTGGGTTAGAGCGTGGAGTCGCTTTGAGATGGAGAGCATGGAGATTCGTGGGGAAATGGGCGTTGGCTATCTTTGGTGTTTTACTCTGTGGGTAGGTCTGGAGTCTGGACTATTACGCCTCTCCAAATGAGAAATGCGGTTTTTCCAGATAATTATACCAAACATCAACAGACCAGCAGTAACTATTTTTTTTTATTTTTTTATTTTTGAAAGGGTAAGGCCGTAAGGGGCAATTTACTTAAATTGTAATTTACTAATTATTTAAAATTTTAATATTTTACTATAATTAATTAATTTTTAAATTTTTTATTTTAATTCAATTCAATTAAATCTTTACACGAATAAAATATAATTACATGATAAAATTTAATTAATCAATTAAATTTTTAAATGAGAGAGAGAGACAACAAAAATAAAAAAATAAAATATTTTATTTTATTTAATTTTTATATATTAATTACATCATGTGATAAATTTTTATTAATTTTATTGATATCATATGAAAATTTATTTTAATTGATAAAAAAATTAACAATATTAATTTTTTCATCTAATAAGAATTTATTTGGATATAAATAAATATTAAAGAAGTTGATTGATTGTAACACAAATATAAAAATATAAAAAAAATTAATTATAGTTTAAAAACTTTTTATACCCTTTAACCTTTTTTAAATTCTTACTACACCCCCATTAATTTCCAATTTTTATTTATTTACGTAATTCATTCCATGAGCACAATATGCCTTTAAATATTTAAGTACATTTAAATCTGCACTTGTATCAAATTTCTACTTTATATTTCTTGTTTTATCCATAGTTTCTACTTTAGTTTGCATTAATCAACTCAGCAAACTATGCAATAAACCAAATCTAATCCGAATTAAAAAAATCGAAATTACAGGCGATATGAACTTGAAACAATGAAACCTGAAGTGAATCAACTCGAAATAGTTTGTGAATATTTTGTTGAAGGACAATCCTGGCGGAAATAACTTATTGGTAACATTCTGAGATTAGGATTGGCTCAAGTGATACGTCACAAGCCACCATGTTGATAAAATTTTAGCTGCAAACCATCAACATTTGAAAGTAACAATACACAAGACAAGAATGTTTCCAGGTGGATTGGTATCAAGATTCTCATGCTATTTGAAAGGATTAATAACCTGTTCTTTATGTACTAAAAACCTAAAGATTAACCCTGCTGAGTGATGACTAAAGGCTCCACCTACTCAAGCTAATTGTTCTTTCAGAAGAAGAGGATTAAGATTCGATCGATAATGAGAAACCCTACCAGTATTCAACAAAAACAAAGAACCACATTCCAAGCCATGATACCAGATACAATTTTAAAAGCTCCCATGGCAATGAACCAAGTATCCAACAGCTCCTTGGCCAGGACAGTAAACAATTCAGCAGCTAAAAGAATTACGTGTTTCAGTAGCTTCAATCCAAATGTATTTACCTGTTGTAAAAAATTTATATTAGGCCTAATGACATTCACATCATGTTGCATCACATTCCATTTCAGATGAAGCTGATGAAACTATTGATAAGTTACCAGGTTTTCAAGGTTTACAAGTTGAGCCACAATCTGGATATATTACAAAACCTTCAAATTCGTCTAAATTTCCATCAAAGAATGGAGTATACTTTCTTAGAGTTCAATAAAAAGAACTGGTGTTTGCAATCCTCCATATAAATTCATATATATAAACAAAACAGAAACAGAGCTGCCATAATTTATATATCTGATGTTCAACCATGTCCATGAATTACAAAATTATACCATAAGAAGCAAAGTAGAAAAGCTAACACTAAAACTTGAATGATTATTTCTTATTCGCTCTCTCTCAACTGCAAGCAATCAAGCCAATCTTCTAGTGTTCCTAAGAATCCCCCCGAGAGCCCCCATAACAAAGAAAGCCAGAAGGGGACTAACATCCAAGGTATCGAAAATAGGTGGAATTATATTCCTAAACAGATTCAAATAAGGATCACAGAGATCCCTAATAGCCGAAAGGGGCTGCTGATCCCAAGGAATGTTAGGGAACCAACTGAGCAAAACCCTAATCAACAAAACCCCACCGTAGATATCAAGCCACTTAGCTAAACCTGCCGCCACCACCGTCAACGGCGTATTGAGGTATCCACTTGGGCGGTCCCTTAAGGAGGCGAAGAAGAGCGGGCCCATGGTGGAAAGTGCGTTAGGGCTCTGGGAGATTGTTTTGAGAGCAAAGTTTTGGATCATTTTGGTGAAGATAACGGTGGCAGAGAAGACCAAGGAGGAAAGGGTTTTAAGGGTTCGAGTTGAATCGTTGAGTGGGGACTGAGTTGGGGTTTGGGGGGCTTTGCAGGGAATCGTCGGGGAAGGAGTAACAGAAGCGAAAGGGGTAAATTTGGGGGTTTTGGTTGGGGGTGTCGAGGGTTTAATGAGGGCAGAGAGGGGGTGGAAATTGGGTTTGGAAGTGAAGATTGGTGAATTAGAGTTTCGTGGAGGGAGGTAGATTGAAGGTCGGAGAAAAAGGGTATGGCTGAGCAACGACATGTTTGGAAATTTCTTTTTTCCTTTTGCTCAAGGAAAATGGGAAGAGAAAGGAGACCGGTTGAGGAAGAAGAATGGCTTTACCGCTGGAGAGATGTTATCCATTTATTCTGAGTCGACTCTCGAGTTAGAATTTAGGGTTAGAATAGTAATATTTTCAATGTTGGACTGTTATCTCTTAAATCCACAGGCTGATATATGATAAGCCCTTTAATGATAGAAGCCCAACAGCTAAATTGAGACGAGACGAAGCTCGATTAGTACTACGGGTGTAAATGATACATTAGTACTCGTAAGTTATTCGGATTTGATTAAAAAAAAACTCAAATTTGATTCGATTATTGTCAAATCGAACTAATTTTATCGATCGAGTCGAATTCGAGTATTTTTATATCTGATTCGAGTAACTCGCGACTTTAATCGAATTTTTATATTTAAATATATTTTTATTATTTTAATTAATAAAATATTTCGAATCGACGTTTGAATTCGAACATGAATAATCGAACTCTTGTCGAGTATACGAATCGAACTTATTTTTACATATTAATCGAACTTAATCGAACGAGTTCGAGTAGCTCGAATTCGATCACAAATCGAACTCAAGCTTGAAAAATAAAACCCGATTGAACTCGAACCGAATATCGAATCTCAAATTATGAATTGAACTCGAATTCGAACTTCTTACTATTCAGTTCGACTCCACTCATTTACATCTCTAGTTAGCACACGATACTAAATACTCGATTTTAAGAAATTGAGGTGATACATATTTTCTATGAAACGATTGAATGAAATGTAGATTTTTTCTCCAATAAGAAATTTATCTTGCGTGAAAATCCTTTTTTTAAAAAAAAATTTAAGAAATCACATATATATTTATATAATTATAATATTTTAATTATTATAATTTATTCAAATCGTGTCGAACCGAAATCAAATTTTAATTTATACGAGTAAAATTCAATGTAAAATTTAAAAAAACTTAAAAATTATATTTAAATTCACGAATTTTAATTTTTTATTCAATTAAGTCATCGAAATTTTAAGCCCAACCTGGCATACACGGAAAAGGGCGCTTAAAAATTATATATATATATATATATATAAATCTCAAAATATCTGTCAGAAGGATTCGAATCAGCTGTCAAACAGTAACAAAATCTATGCGAATAACTGCCAAACGTACCACCCTTACTACTACCCTGTCTCCATGCAATGCAAGTTCTATTCTAACCGAGACCTACTCAAAGTCATCCAAAACCCTACAACATGCCCCCTAAGCAGCCAGCAAAATACAAGTACACAAACTCAAGAAATTTAAGTACACATTGAAACATATATGGGTGGTTCTGGTTCATCAATTGATCATCAATCACTCTTAGAAGTGCCATGATTGTTGTTGGTGTATTTCTTTGAGGCTGGATACTTGATAGCATTAAGTTCAACTTTGCGCAGAGCAGCTTTTCCCAGATCAATGCCACATATATCAGAGAGCCTGACAAGGTAGAGTAGCACATCAGAAAGCTCTTCGCCCAGGTGAACTTTTTCCTCTTCTTTCCAATCAGGCAATCCTTTTGGGACCTCTCCTTTCCACTGAAATATCTCAGAGAGTTCTCCCACTTCACCAACCTATAATGAATCATCACAAAAAAAGGTCAAGTTTGACTCTAAGCAAGCCAACATTGTCATAGAAATCATTACGATAAATTATATCGGGTAACTAGCAGATATTCAAAGATGATACATAAAGAGAAATGGTAACCCTCATGAAGTTTTGCTTGGGTATCCTATAGATTATATAGAGAGATAAAACATACCAGAGCCAAAAGGAGATTTCTTGGGCTGTGAAACTTATCCCAGTCCCTTTCCTTGGCAAAGTTGGCCATTTTTTGCTTAAGAAGATCAAGGCTCACACTTTGAGCACCTTCCTGAGTCATCTTTTCTAGATAGTTAGACCCTTTGTCTAAATGGAAAAAGAAAAGATGGGTGAAGATTGAGTGAGACAGTGGGAGAGACTGAGAGACAAGAGTAAGGTGCAATGTTCTTGGAAAGAGGCTACAACCAAAAATATAAAAGAAGAGGGGAGGAGACCAGAAAACAAAGGGATGTCCTATTGTGGAAAGGACTTGGTGAATTTAATTCTAAGGTTGTCTTGTCTTAATTTGGTAAATACAGGCTTGTATACGGTTGTCTTGTCTTAATTTGGTAAATACAGGCTTGTGTACATGTATCTTTCTACTCCTAAATTGTTCAAATACTTAGCAAGGGAGGCTACAGCTACAGCCTTACAAGGTATTGACAGTCAATGCAGCCATGTGTCAGTAGCCTACATGGATTCTGGCCCCGGTCCTTGGGCATCCTCGTGGCTATGGTTGGGACCATATGTTCTTTCTTCTTCTTCTTCCTCTTCATTGCTTTCATGGCTTGTTTTGTTTTGGCAGGAATTTCTCTGCCTGCCACCGATAATTTTCTGCCCCTCAACAGCCCTAGGGTTAGTAGGGGTAAGGTTAGGAGAAATTAAAAAAAATCAAAAAATTCGAAAATTAATTTAAAATTATAATATTTAATTTGATTCTAATTAGTTTATTTTATTTTATTTTATTAAAATTAAATATATATTAAATTCAGATTAAATTTTAAATTTAAAAGTAAAAAAATGAATCTATCATAACATATAGATTCATAATTTTATTACTATACATAAATTAAAAAAGCTGTCATCAATATTTTTATTTAAGTGTAATTGATCACTTAATTGAATCTGATTTATAAAATCAGATTTAAGTTCAGGAGTATGATTATGCGTGAGAAAAAGTTATAATACCCTCATAGTGTTCATCTAAAAAATGATATCAGTTTAATTTTAAATTATCCAAGTGTTAAGAATATTTACGCTTTACCAAAATATTGAATATTGAGAATCAATATTAAAGTTATTTCAATAGTTTAGTAGCAGTTTAAAATAATTCTCTTACTTCAAGAATATTCATGAAAATTAGTCTCTCATCTTGAAGAAGTTTTATCGTCGGATTTATTTATTTATTTTATTCAAAAAATTAGTAAAATCTTTCAATAATTTAGTAGGATTTACTTTGAGACAAATATTTCAATAGTTTGATGAAATTTTATTTGAAAGATATTTATAAAATTTTATTTTTATTTTGTAAAAAAATTTATTAAGTCTTGATAGGACTTATTTTAAGAAACAAATCCTCAAATAATTTAAAGAATAAAAATTATTATTTTTTATTTTTTTGAAAAATGATTTATAAAATTTTTTAATAGTTTAGTAGATTCCATAAAATTTGAATCCATGAGAATTTTTCAATAGTTTAATAAAATTCATGAATTTATTTTGTAAATATTTTTATTTTTAATTTTTTAATATTTTTTTGTTTTATGGAAATAAAAATTTTATTTTTTGGCAAAACATTTAATAAGTAATAAGTTATTCAATAAAACAAATAAGTAATAAAAATTAGTAAGATGATAAAAAAAAACTAAATATAAAATATAAAATCAAAATATAAAATATAAAATATAAAAAATCAAATCAAAAATTAAAATTAAAATAGAAAAAAAAACCTGCGATTAGGTTGAGTCAGACCACAGGTAGTGCACGGATCTCAGTTGGGTTACGCACAGATCTAGGTGAGGTAAAATGGCGTTGTTTTGAAGCCCTATAAAAAATAAATCCTTATGTTTTTTCTCATACGCCCTTGCTCTTTCTTTAGCCAAAAAATTCTCTGACCTCTATTTAGAAAAGACCCAGAAATTCAACCCAAATTTGGAATTCTTCGTCGATTTTTGAAAAAGTTGCTAGAGAATTCAAATATTGCCAGAAAATTCAAAGTTCATCCCAAAACCCAATTTTTCCAAAAACCTTAAAATTTTTTCAGATTACTTTAGAAACCTTTCAGAAATGTAAACCTAATCCCAAAAATCCAAATCTAAACCCTGAAACTTCAAATTGAATCTCGAATTCCCAAAATCCCATAAATTCCCTACTATCCAAAATTTTTTTCAAAAAACTCCAAGTTCATCCCCTCTCCAAATATCAAAACCCCCATCATTTGCGATTTTACACTCAATTTATAGCTAGTTCTTGGTAGAGATTTTAAGGCCTAAACAGAATCAATACAGGCTTGAATCCTAGTATTGAATTCTATCCAATGTGATTTTAGGCTTAGGTTTTTGCCAATTTGTTTGATTTGATTTGATTTTGAATTAAGAACCCCTTTGATTATGTTGATTTGATTTTCTTGTTATCAACACAGATTAAGAAAAGGAAAGAAAAAAAATAATAATAATAATCAACACAATTGACTTAGACACAGATGGATATCTACTGCTACCTCTTTTTGTGTATTTTTGTGAAACAGGAATTGCGTAAAGATAAAAAACATCCATTTTATTTGGGTCTGAAAGCCTAGATTTAAAAAGTGATCGAAGTATACTTACATAGAAAAATAATTGAGACTGAACTGCGAAATAAGAAATAAAATGATCTAGACTGAGTCGAGATCAAAACAAGTGATCGAGATTAAACCGCGAGTCAAAAAAATAAAATGATTTGGATTGAGCCGAGATCGAAACGAGTGACCAGGATCGAATCGCGGGTTGGAAAAAATTCAAAATTTCAACTTGAAATCCAACTATTCACATTTTGAAAATTCAAAGAGTTGTAAGATTCCATAACAGAATTTGAAAGATCCCAATATTTCAAGTTTAAAAAAAAAATCGTAAAGATTCAAGATACAAAGATTTTTAGATTTGTAAGAATGAAAGATTCACAAGATTTCAAGTTTCGCAAAGATTCTAGATTCGCAAGGTTTGAGGTTTGTAAAGATTTTTAGATTCACAAGAATAAAAAGATTCGTAAGATTTTAAGTTTCGCAAAGGTTCAGATTTGCAAGGACTTTCAAATTCGCAAGAATGAAAGATTCATAAGATTTTAAGTTTTGCAAAGGTTCAGGTTCATAATGACTTTCAGATTCTTAAGAATGAAATATTCGCAAGATTTCAAGTTTTGTAAATGTTCCAAATTTGCAAAGGTTTTATAACAAAATTGAAAGAGTCAGAAAGATAAAACAACCCAAATCTAGTCGAAGTCAAATATGAATGATCAAGATCAAACCGCGAGTCAAAAAGATGATCTAGATCTAGTAGAGATTAAACGATAAAGATTGAACTGCTGGTAAAAAAATGATTTGAACTCAGTCAAGATCGAATGATCGGGATTGAACCCTAAATTAAAAAAATAAAATGATCTAAACTAAGTCGAGATTGAAACAAGTAACTGGGACTAAGCTGCAAGTTAGAAAAATAATATGGACTAAGTCAAAATCAAACAGGTGATCGGGACTGAACCGCAAGTTAAGAAAATGATCTGAATAGAGCCTAGATCAAACAAGTAACTAAAATTGAGCCGTAAGTTAGAAAAATAATTTGGACTAAGCCAATATTAAATAGGTGACCAGGACTAAGCTACAAGTCAGGAAAATGAGATGATCTAGACTGAGCCAAGATCAAACAGATAACTAAAACTGAACCATAAATGAGAAAAATGATCTGGACTAAACCAAGATCAAATAGGTGACCGAGGTTGAGCTACAAGTTAGAAAAATAAAATGATCTATACTGAGCCAATATCAAATATATAATCGAAACTGAATCGTGAATCAAAAAAATAAAATGATTTAGATTAAGTAGAGCTAAAAAAAGTAATCGAGACTGAGTCGTAAGTAAAAAAAATGATCTAAACTGAGTCGAGATCAAACAGGTGACTGAGACAAAATCATAAGTCTGAAAAATGAACTAAATTGAGCAAAGATCGGATGATCGAGATAAAACCACAAGTCTAAGAAATGATCTAGACTAAGCTAAGATCGAATGATCATGACGAAACCACAAGTCTAAAAAAATGATCTAGACTGAGTCAAGATCAGATGATCAAGATAGAACCATAAAATGATTTGGATTGAGTCAAGATCAAATGACCTAGACGAAACCACAAGTCTGGCTAATGATATGGATTAAGCCAATATCGAATGATAATGATGAAATCACAAGTCTAAAAAATGATCTAGATGAGCCAAGATTAAATGACCAAAATGAAATCACAAGTCAAAAAAATTATCTGAATTGAGCCAAGATCGAATATAAGTAATAAATAATGATGTAGCAATGCAAATACAGGTCCTATCTAGGATGCAAATGTAGATGCAATATATGTAATGAGGATATTACTAAATCAATGCTATGAAATTTCAATTGTAGTAACAAAGTTCTCAAGACTCACCATCTCATGTATTCTTTCTCAACTTCTTAACCTCTTAAAACAAATTTTGTTAGTCGATCCATGTCATTCTTTTTATCTAATCACAACTCGCAAGTCATATCAACCAATCTATCACTAAATTCATCATCGAGTCACCTTGTTTGCCCTATTTTAAATATTTTATTTATCTCATCTTGAATTTCTTTCAAAAGAATAGAAAAATCTTTTACAAACAGTGTCATTCATTTATTTGTCATTATTCAAATTTGTGACAAACATGATATATTTTCTTGGTTCATTCAAAGGATGTACATTTGGTAAAAAATAAGAAAAAAATAAGAAAAAGGGTCTTTATTATTGAAAAGAAATATGGTCGATAACAAATCAAGGGCACAATATTTTCACTATTAAAAAAAATATCAGTGTTTCGAAATAATAACTGTTTAGACAATTGTGAACTCCAACTCAAAATCCTCTTTCAAAAATACATTCCATCAACATCCTTGATTTTTGAGCTAATCATCATCCTTATTCTTGGATCTTCATATGAAGTTATTTTTTTTAAGTTTTCATTTTTACTTAAACTGTCCTTTCAAGTTTTCAGTTTAAGTCTTCCTTTTTTTTCATTTTTTTTTGCTTTTTACTTTTTTTTTCATTTTTTTGCACACCTTCATTCTCATTTTTTCTTTTCATTTCTCTTTTCCCCTTTTTTATCCATCAGTGGTACTTCGATTAAAGTTTCAAACAATCTAATGATAAATCTGTCTTAATCCAATTCATGATTCTTTAATTCGAGTATTCACATTCGATCAAAATGA